AAATAAATTATAATTTGTTTTGTATTCACTTTCTTTTTATTTATGCAATATTTTATAAACCAGCTTTTATAACTTATTTTTATTTATAAATTTGTTTTAATACATTTCATGTATATTTATTTGGAATACAATGTCTATGCGCAATTGGTTCTACCTGATTGATTTTCTTCCTCACATTGCTTGCCGTACAATTTATGTATAATTGATTTAGCTTGAATTTATTATTCCAATACTTATTTTGCATGTGATTTTGCAACTATATTTAAAAACGTCGCTACTGCACAATTGTTTTTGTTAAACATATACATATATATACTACCTGTATTACGTTACATGCATTCCTTATCCATTTTTCTTTTAATTCATCTTTTTTTTCGGCGATGCCTACAAATTTGGAACTTTTTTTCTGACCTTACGCTTTCTAAGTAAATTTTTACACACGTTTCACCTGCGTAAAAAGTCTACGCCACTAACCGCTATGCTTGTATTGTATGTATATCCTATATACATATGTAGTTAATATATTACACATATATTTAGTTTTATGCTATATTATATCCCAAAGTAGCACATTTATACAGTTATAAATACATTTATCAGCTATTTGTATCTTATATTTTATGCTCACTATATACTTGTATTGTATACATATACATATGTATCTGTCTCTTATACACATCTAGATGTGTATAAGAGACAGGTGGTAAAATATTGAAAAAAAAAATTTAATTTATGTATATTTTGCTTTTTGTTATTGAAAAAATAATTGTCACTTGAAAAAAATGTATTCAACATACACACATTTATTTAAATTTATAATCGTGTCATAGTTTTGTAAATTCGTGTTTGCTTTATATTTTGTTTATTTATTTTTTGTTTTAATTCTGCTATTTACATGCAAATCTGCAAGCCTTGGAAGTGCAACTGCGCACTTAGCGCAAATACATAGATGTATCTGCGTATATGTATGTATATCCATCTTATATTTGTTTGCACTTATAATCGACATTGGTTTTCTATTTTTTGCTAGTTAAGCAACAATAATTATTCATTTTCTTCTTCGTATTTGAAATAAGTTTATATATACAGCTTAAAAAAGTATGTTTTAAAAATAAAAAAATTATTGTTCTTGTTTTTTTATGGATTCAAAATTTATAAGCATTTGCATTCCAAAAAATTAAAACAACATAAACACAAAAAATTATAAAAAAATTGTTTTCTAAGACAAAAAGTTATAAATAAAAATTTGAAAACATTTTGTTTTATAATTTTATATGTTTATCGACTCAAACAAATTAACAAGAAAAAAAAAAAAAAAAAAAAAAAAAAAAAAAAAAAA